AGATTTGTTAATTTAACTAAAATTTTATATGATGTTTGCACACAAAGTGTGTTGGTGATAATCTAATAAAACTATTTTTATATATAACTTTATGATAATTTGTTGTTCCGTTCATTTTATGATATTTAATGATATATTCGGTCTCACACTATTAATTTTATATATTTTTCAATATATTTAATGGGCAGATCACGCAATTAATGATATTTATATAATGAATTAAAAAATGTCACGTTTATTAATTTTATTATTAGAAAACTGACATTTTAAGATTTCAATTTAACCTAGAGTGATAAATATTACTAATGAGCCATATATATTACACGATAATGTAATTCAAATAAATGGGTACAATATCATATATTATAATGGCTCTTATTGGATGAAAATCTTTCATCAAAATACAAAATTTTGTTATTTTGATAATATGGAGCATGCAAGTTATTCAAAAGATAAAAATTGTTATTCTATAATCAGAAATATTGATGAAAGAAATCGAATATCAGAAAATAATGAAGAATACTTATTTATAAAAATTGGATTATACAAATGATTCATATGTATTGCATAGAAATATTAGAAAGAAATTTGGATATGAATATTTTAATGAAGATAATGGGGAAATATGGTTAAAAGTTTTCCATCAAAACACAAAGTTTTGTTATTTTGACAGTAGAGCTAAAGCGAATTACTCACTTAATAAAAATTGTTATTCCATTCTTCGTGAAGTTGACCAAAAGTTTTTAATCTCTAAAAGTTCACAAAAATATTATTCATTTCTTCTTGAATATCCACAAATTCCAGAATACATCGAATTCATACAAACAGAACTTTTTACCACATCCAATCCTAAACCCAATGGATATCTTAATATTACAAAACAAGGATCATGGATTGCTTTTGGAGGTTTACACAAATTGGATTCAGTTTTAATGAATTGTTCACTTTATGTTGGATTCAACAATGGCGAGAATTGGCATTATCCAATTGGAGTTATTAACAAAGAATACTTTCCATTAATGCCTGCTGGATCAAAAAATGTCCAAATCATCGATCTTTGGATGCAAATAAGTGATTTAAAAATTATTAATTCATTTGAATTTCTAATGTCAGGATGTTCTATTTGTAAATTCTATTTTCCGCAATTTGGAAACATAATTAATATTTTTATATTTAGTTTGGTTGATTCAATAAACTAATATTGTCTGATATTGATGTATTGTCATTTCTAACCAAATATACAAACACTTTCAAATATTTATATTTTCTAACATCTCATCACCATTTCTTATTAAACCACTGGACAAAAGATGTAAAGTGTGATATGAAATTGTGAGAATCTCATAGAATAATTATACTACTTGTGCCATTTTTATTACATTTTATATAAAGTTTAGAAAAAAATCACTTTGGGCTATAATATTAGTTGAAGGGATTTTATTATTGATTTTTGTTTTAAATTGGCATAATTAGAAGAAGAAATATCAATAAATTAGATTTACCAAATACAAATTCTGAATGGCAATTATAAGAGAAATTTTTATTATCACACAAGTTAACTTGAAAAACAATTTCAATAATTGGTTGCATTGAATCAACATTCATATTATATAATTTCTTGTTTGAGAAACAATTCTTAAATTCGTATTGCCCACCACCTTGGATTTCTTTTCCAGTTGAATCAATAAAAACACAATTTTCAAATGTTGCTTTTGCATCACTCACCCAAAAGAAATACATTTGATTGGTTGCATCAATGAAATTACATAAAATAGATGAAAAAGAAGAAGATACAAATTCAATATAAAAATAGTCAAAACACTTATAAACCTGACAAAATTTTACATATGTTCCAATAACCGAATTGAAAATAGAAAAAAAGCCCCGCCCCACCTATTCCATAGTTATTTGTTCCATTATTTTCAGAACACATCATAATGTTATGATTCAAATAAATACAACCGTCACTTTTGTGGTTTGCGTCAGGTCCGCATAAACGAAATGAAGAATCGGAAACATTGGCTTGAGAATTGCGACAATAAATAGCATTCCCATGATATCCATCTTTCATTAAAATTGAAAAACATTCGCAAAATAAATTATTTTTAAAATCAACAGGGTCCTCAAGAATATATACGGCTCCTCCTTCTAAAAGGGAAAAACATTTAGAGAAGCTCGAAGTAAAAAGTTCAATTGAATACATAGATTTATTAATGTATATCGCACCTCCATTTGCGAGAGATGAAATACCAATAAAATGGTTACATGATATTAAATTTTTAATCTTAAGGAATTCAATTCATGAATATTTTTGTTTGTTTATTTTGTCACTTTTATTGTAAATCTGCTTTACATTATTTTACATACCTTGCAAGTTTCATACTCTTCATGGTATTACTGTAGATTTCCTAATATTGTACAAGTTTATAGACAATGTAACCTTTCAATTGATAGCAATTTTGATACATTTAATAGCATTTTCATTCTTAATGGGCTATTTTTCCATTTAAAATAAATTGAATTATACAAATGATTCATATGTATTGCATAGCAATATTAGGAAGAAATTTGGATATGAATATTTTAATGGGGATAATGGGAAAATATGGTTAAAAGTTTTCCATCAAAATACAAAATTTTGTTATTTTGACAGTAAAGATAAAGCAAATTACTCACTTAATAAAAATTGTTATTCCATTCTTCGCGAAGTTGACGAATGGCAATAATGGATAATAAGCTTTACTTTTGACTCCAACAGGATAATTCCAATAATTGGGCTGATCATCTCCGGAAAAAAGGATATCTTTGTTATAATGACGTAATCCTCCAAAATGGGGCCATGTTCCATTTGAAGTAATGAGTTTATATGATTCTGCAGTATCAGAATTAAATGTGGATTGATGAAAGTATATGTATTGTGGAATTTGTGGATATTCAAGAAGGAAGGAATAAAATAGTTCATCATTTTCACTCAAGCGATATTTGTCATTAATTGTTTTTATGATTGAATAACAATTCTCGTCTTTGGAATATCGAGCTTGAGAGATACTATCAAAATAACAGAACTTTGTATTTTGGTGAAAAATTTTGAGCCAATTAGAGCCATTGTATTGAATAATTGTATTACCATTTATTTTGATAACATTATCATGCAAAACATATAGTTCTTCAGTATAATTTAATACCAATTAGAGAATTGGCAATATTATTAAGATGATGATGATAATTTCAAGATCGAAAATACATATAATTTAATGTTTTATGAACCTGATGATTTCCCTAAAGATTATTTTCTCTTCAATCAATCAAATAATCCATTCAGGACATCTAAAGCAGAAAATCTAGAAATTGATTTCAGATGTAATGAATGCGTTTTGGGTAACGAAGTTAATAATAATTTTACTGGATTAACTATTTCTGATACCAATTATACTATTATTGATGGAACGGCTCAAACTTCTGATCATTGGAGTTATGCGATTGGCGCTAATACTAAATGGATAGATGAAAACACAATTCCAGGAGTTGTTTGTCATAAAAACTCCTTATATGTTCCTTCCCATACACTCGAATTATGGATACGCTTTATTGATTTCGGAGTTTTAGAATTACTTCCAAGAAAATTTTGATGCTCTGTATGCCAATTTCGAAATCTTCCTAGTTTAATGATGCTTTTTACTTGAGTTCTTGTATCTTAAAAACATTTTTTTTAATCCTAAATACCTTTTCCTCATATTATTTTCCTAATCTTTTAAATCAACATATTTCATTATCAACAAGGAAATAAACATTAGTCAATGAAAATTCATTTCAGTCATTGTAATGTCTAGAAAAATAAAAATAATTAATTATTTAATAATAAATATAAAGTTGGAATATGCATAGTTTTGGCAAATATAAAGGATATCATATTGTTGAATACGATCACAATCTTTATGTGAGGGTATTTCATCATAATGCAACAAATTATGCATTTTTTAGTGAAGATCATGAAACAGCAATAGAGCAAGTTTATTTTATCAATGAAACTGATCTCTTTAGTGTTTTAGGATATGTTGATGATAATTTCAAGATCGAAAATACATATAATATAATGTTTTATACACCTGATGATTTACCAAACGATTATTTTCCATTCAATCAAACAAGCAATCCGTTGAATTCAAATAATGCTACAAATATATCAATTGATTTTCGGTTCAATGAATGCGTCTTAGATACATCAAGTAACTTTACTGGATTGACTCTTTCCGATACCAATTATACCATAATTGATGGAACTGCAAATAGAATTCAACATTGGAGTTATGCAATTGGAGCCAGTACATTTTGGGGTAGGAAAAATACAATTCCGGGAGTTCCTTGTCATGTAAACCCTATATATATTCCTTCTCAAACATTTGAATTATGGATACGCTTTAACGATTTTCGAATTTTAGAATTGTTGCCGAGTAAATTTTTATGTTCATATTTATTCTTCCTTTTATTCTGATTTAAACATTTGAATAATTCTCAACTGTTTAATTTTTAGTTTTCAATGAATAATGTCTGTTTAAACAAATTTCTTTGTTATATTCCAATATTATTAGCAAATAGTAAATGACTATTGGAAAAAAAATCTAGGGTCTGAGAAAAAATTGAGGGTAACGACTAAACTTGTTTTCGGTTTTCATTATATATCTTAAATTTTTTATATATAATGCTCATCCTTATTGGAAGATGGCGCAATATACATTCAATTTTTTTAAATAATTATTTTGAATCAAGCTATTACAAGCAGAAAAAAAAATGTAAAACATGGAAAATTTACAATTACCATTCAAAATCAAATGTTAATAGTTCATCATTTTATTTATATTGTACTGATTCAGAAAGGAAAAGTGACAGATGCATATATATGAATGACAATACATTAATTGTTAACGAATGTAATGGAACAAATAATTATGGAATTAGATGATCAGAGCTTTTGAATGTTTAGAATTTATACAAGTTTATAAATGTTTTGATGATAATTTTATTGGTGGCTGTTCTTTAAATGTTATGAATAGTAATTTCATTGATGCAATGGACCGGTAGTATTTGAAAATTGTATTTTTATCAACATATTAAACAAAAATATTTTTGGCAAAAGACAATATTCCTTCTTGAATTGCCAATCAAATAATGAATATGATGGCATGACATTATCAGCTTCTCCGCCCGCAAACAGAATTGATATAATTATTGGACATTGCAATTTTATGGTTAATTAATAATGTTAGTTTAAATTATCCGTTCTTATATATTATGATTCAAAACATTGAAATTTTGTAAACTATTCAAAATATTTTGCCAGAATAACCGGTTATTGAGTGCTTCAATAGTAAATTTATTCATAGGCAGGTTCTATAGAGATTTACTTTTATAATTTATGTTCAATTATTCGAATAATTCATATGTATTACATAATAATATTAGGAAGAAATTTGGATATGAGTATTTTCAAGACGATCATGGTAGACAATGGCTAAAAGTATATCATCAAAACACAAAGTTTTGCTATTTTGATAGCAAAGGAGAAGCAAATTATTCATTAAATCAGAATTGTTATTCCATTCTTCGCGAAGTTGATGAAAAGTTTTTAATCACTAAAGGTTCACAAAAATATTACTCATTTCTTCTTGAATATCCACAAATCCCAGGATACTATTTAGATAGCAATTTTAATAATTTTTATATTTTAAGGTTAATTATACCATCCTAATTAAAAATTAGAAATTTAAGTTATGCAAAACTGTTTTGGTAAGTACGTCACATAGGACAATTTTTCATCATAGGAATGAAACCTTTGATAAAGTTGTTAATAATATTCTCAAAATGTCATTTTTTAATAAAGCTATCTTTTTCATATAAAAGGTCTACATTTCTTCTGGACGTATTCTTGAAATTTCTGAAGAGTCACCATTATTTCTGAAGTAATAATAATGAATATATGCAATACATCTTTGATCTCTATATGTTCTCAAGCTTTTTATTCATGTTTTTTATTTCAAGTTTAGAATTTCTGAATAACTATTAGGAGGTATTTCTATTAGATAAAAAATTGATGTTTGTAAGGATACATGCACTTCTAAAAAGTTAAATATAGCAATCATTCTAGTAGTAATTGTTTAATTGTTTAATATTCAAGGAGAATTCGTTCTTCATTCTTAGTTAATCTTTCAGAAAAGAATGATGATTTTAGATAATTTAACAAAATATCACTTTTTATAAAATCTTACATAATAAGGTTTAAAATACGACAATAAAAGAATTAATATTGCGGAAGAATTACAAAATTTTTAAGAGTGTCTCTTATAATAACTCAAACTGAATGTTTATTAATTTCGCAAGTTTAATTACTTAATCTAATGGGAAATTACTATATCAAAAACTCTGATTTTGTTAATTTAGAGGGAGAAAGTGGAGGTGCTGTGTATTTCTCATTAAATGAAGGCTCAAGCAATATACATGTGAGCTTTTCGTCTTTTATTTTATGTAGATCAAATGGTAGTGGAGGCGCAATTCTCTCACTTGGTGGAAAATTTCAAGAAAATAATATTTGTGGATATTTTTGTTATACAATTAAAGATGGATCATTTTCCTTATCAAGACCTTTCAATTATGATTCAACTCATAAATTTTCAATGGTATCCTCCCTAAATTGTGGACGAAATATTGAGAGTAGAGCTTTTTGCATCTATAGAGGACAAATAACCATCAGAGATATAAATTCCACAAATAGTGCTGCTGTTGGATATGGAGCTTTTGCAATGGAGCCTTATGGTATAAATGGAAGACTGAATGCTCAATTTGTCCAAATTTCCAACGCTACTGGTCGATATATTATTAATTTTTATAATGGAATAAGTATAGCTTCAAATTTTGTCATCAATCTATGCTATAATTATTCATTTTTAATCAGAGTTGATACAGGACAATTAAATATAAGTTATTCCGAGTTTGCTAACAATGAAAAAGATGGTTACGCTTTTTTATCAACGCAAAAAGGTGTAGCATATATAGAATATTGCTATATTGATCAGGATTTAAGTATTGATCTGGGAAGAGTGTGTTATAGAATGAGAGGATGACAAGATCCTTAAGATCAGAAATTCCATATGAGACATCACCACAAATAAGAGGCCACTTGATCTTCTTGCCTTCTTCTTCGTCAAGATCGATTCCATCGAGACGAACGAGATTTGTGAAAACAAAATATCTACTTTCCTTTACGTGAAAGAACATGTTTCGCACGGCAGAAATCAGGAAGGTGGAATGTGTCCTCGAGGAGAGAGAGATGGATTTCCTTTTCTAACTTCAAAAGACGTTCTGACTACACGACAAGACATGCAAAAATTAAAGCTGAGCTATGTCATGCTCAAATCTATATATCTTCTCGATGCATTAGTCATGTTTGTTGCATGCTAAGTAGTGTCAACGATAGAAATTGAGAGCCTATTAATCGTCGAGGAAGTACGATTATTTTTTGGGCGAAAAAGTATCTTAAAATATGATTATTAATATGTTTTTAAAATAAAAAATTTGAAAGTTAATTTGAGATTCTCATATAATTTTTTGAATGAAAAAAATAAATATAGTCTATATGAGTTTTTGAATAATCACACTTGAGATATATCTAAAAAATAATTAAAAATAGAGTTTGAGAAGACTTTTCAAAGTGTAATGAAAAGTGTGATATAGAAAATAATTATAGATATTTTAATTTTATATATTGTGCTAAGCATTATATTAAATTTTTAGGAAAAACACTTTTCATAAGTATTCAATATTTGAAAATACGCTCCAAAAAAGAATAGATTCTTTTATATTCGCTTATATAAAAGGAGACTCTCTATCAGATGCGAATGCCTGAATTCAGCACCTCTGATAGAGAGTTTCCTCTTATATAAGCAAATCTTTTTCATTTGTTTTTGTTAATATAAAAACATCAAAATCTACCAATATGAGAAATTAAACCCTGCGAGGCACCAGTCTAGAACTGGCACTTCGCAGGGTTGAATTTCTCTTGACAAAATACAATAATCAAATGCTCCAAAGTTTTCAAATTTTTATTAGGAATAGGAGCCTACAAAGCACTGATTATATATCAGTGCCTGGTAGGCTCCTATTCCTTCTCTAAATGGGAGAAACTTTGTTTGAATAAGATAACATGCGAACAAAGTTTCTCCCATTTAGAGTGGGATTTGGAGGGTGGGAGGTACATAGATAGACTATGTATCTCTCACCCTCCAATTCCCTCGGGAAAGTTCGAAAACTTTGGTGCAATCAGCAACGATTGCACCAAGTTTTTGCGTTTAATTGAAGGAATTGCTCTTTATGATATATACAGTTACAATGCATATATCATAAGGAGCAATTCCTTCCAGATATCTGGCAAACTTGCTCGCAATGGTTCACAATTGCGAACAAGTTTTGTCATTTGTCAAGAGAAATTAAACCCTGCGAAGTGCCAGTTCTAGACTGGTGCCTCGCAGGGTTTAATTTCTCATATTGGTAGATTTTGATGTTTTTATATTAACAAAAACAAATGAAAAAGATTTGCTTATATAAGAGGAAACTCTCTATCAGAGGTGCTGAATTCAGGCATTCGCATCTGATAGAGAGTCTCCTTTTATATAAGCAAATATAAGAGAATCTATTTTTTTTGGACCGTATTTTCAAATATTGAATACTTATGAAAAGTGTTTTTTTCTAAAAATCTCAGAATATATTTACAATAGTAAAATAAATAAGATATTTAAATTTATTTTTAAATGCTTTTTTTTATATGAGATTCTCAAAAGTTATATCAAAAGTCTGTTTTTTCTAAAATCTAATATCATAATCTATTTCTCATTTTAAGTACATCTTAATTCATTTTATTTTCTATATTTTTTCAATATTTTTGAGGGAATTGTGTTGCTTCCCCGACGATAAAATTGAGAGGTTTACACATTGACACTACTTAGCATGCAACAGTTCAGTATGATAACAAGCTTTTTGTAAGAATATTTCATCATAATGTCACAAATGGCGCACTATTTAGCAAGAAAAAAGAAATTGCTAGAAACCAACTTTATTTTATCAATGAAACTGATAGATTTAGTATATTGGGTTCGATCAATGATGATTTTAAAATTAACGATACATTTAATTAAGGATTTAAACATTATAAATCAAACAGACGAATCAAAAATAATCATTAGTATGATATTTACACTTTTGTTGCATTTTTTACAGGCTTTACACCTGTATAAAAAGCAATACAAGTGTATATTTTAAATAAATTTTCTCAAAAATGTCTGATATATAATATAATCCTGTCTTTTAAAGTTAATTTTCTATTAAGTTTCACCACCATTGTCAGATTGCGTCTGTAGAACATTTTTACTCGATAATCAGAATTACTTATATTTTGTATAGCATAAAATTAATCAATAATTTATGTCACTTTTTTATCAGAAAAGTAATTGAAGTTTTCCTTGAAAACGAATTCATTACCAACTCAAAACTAAACAATTTAGGGATAAATATATATATATAAAGTTTATATTAAATGGCTTATTCAAATGAACCTTACGTTTTACATAACAATATTAAGAAGAAATCTGAATTTGAATATTTTACTGATGCTAATGGACAACTATGGTTAAAAGTATTCCATCAAAATACAAACTATTGTTATTTTGAAAGTAAGTTAGAAGCAAATTATTCACTTTCGAAGAATTGCTTTTCTCTTATTCGTTATATTGATGAAAAATTTTTAATCTCCAAAAGTTCACAAAAATATTATTCATTTCTTCTTGAATATCCACAAATTCCAGAATACATCGAATTTGTCCAAGAAGAACATTTCAACACTTCAAATCCAAAACCAGCAGGATTTAACACAATTAAAAAGAAAGGAGCTTTCTTAGAATTTGGTGGATTACATCAATTGATATCAACATATTCTAATTCTGCTCTCCTTGTGGGACGCAACAATGCAGTAAATTGGGATTATCCCATTGGAACAATAAGCAAGGATTATTATCCTCTTATGCCAATCTTTAACAGACAATGCCTTATTGTTGATTTGTGGATAGAAATTAAGGATTTAAACATTATAAATCAATTTACATTTAATGCAGTTGATTGTTCTCACCTAAACATTAATACTTGCATTCTTAATATCAATAAATTTGCATTTATTTGTTTGTTTGAATCAATAAACTAATATTATTATAATTATATTTGATATCTTAATTTTTGTTTCTTGCCCTATTTCAATTGGAGTATTATCATTTTCGTCTGGGAAAAGTTACAAAAATATCATTTTCGTCTGACATCCGAATTTAAGCGCAATCCACCCATACACAACTTTATTTAATAGCTCCTTGTTCATGTTATCATTTTAACTCCAACTTCAAATTGTTTCATTTTTGTGAATTTCTAGTCAATTTTTTAGCGAAGTCAAAATCATAAACTCAAACTATTCAATTTATTTTCACCAAAATTTCCTAATAGATGCATTGCAATTCAAGTAGTGTCATTTCATTGCAACCACATAAATTTATCTTTTTAGAATGACCCTGAAAATAAATAAAAAAAATTACAATTTTCGTCGGACGAAAATGATAATTTTGTCACCTTTCCAGACGAAAATAATAATCCTTCATTTCAATTATTCACACAATTTTTAAATAGTATTCAAAATAAATATGCATAAAGAACGGCACTGAATTTGCACATTTTCTCTGATTGTATCAGAAAAAGTGCTAATATGAGGATATGATGTTCATGATTTTTTTTGGTTGTCACTTTTTTGAAAGATCAAAATGTTCTTGATTCTTTTTGAATCGATTGGAAGCATTACTTATGATAATGGTATATTTCAAAAGCATTATAATGAAGGTGATATCATTGTTACAGCATCAGGTTCATCTAAACAGCAGATTAACGATACCGACCAACTAACTAAGCCAGAATATGCAATTTACCCATGGGAAAAGAAATATGATTGGTGTTCTCAGATCAGTCATTCATATGAAGATCATCCTTACATTGTTTTTGCCATGAAATCGAAGAAGTTTAAATTTAATGGCTACTTCGTTAGGTGCGGTTGCTGTTATGATGGATGCTGCTGTGATGATGATTATTACCATTATTGCTTAGATTGCTGTCTATACAGTTGGTCACTACAAATATCAGATGACAACAAAACATGGAAAACAATTCATCAAGTAGAGAAAGATGATTCTATGCGGATTTGTAGCGAAAAAGAGTATCATTTAGATAAGGAATATATCTCAAGGTATGTTCGATTGATCCAAGACAAACCATGTCCAGGATATCCTCCATGCATTGCAATCAACAAATTCGATTTGTACGGCAATTCCGTTGGTGATGATTCATCACGAGATGACGAATTTGTTTCATACCACGACGATGATGACGATGTCAGCATCATTGGCCACATTTCTAAGAATGGAAGATTATAAATTTCACATTTATATAGAATTTAATTCCTTTCATTTCTCTTGAATATTTTATAACATAAAATTCAACTTTTTATAGATAAAATATAATTTTAGATCAATTTTTTCTATTTTATAAAAGATATTATGAATATGAACTATAATTCATCATATGTTTATATACGGGAAATATGTGTATATGCTCCCAAAATAGGGGAAGGAAAAATTTTTAGGGTGACTTTTATTAGTTAAAATTATTCATATATTTTATACATAGAATAAGGATGTCAATTTGGAAGAAAAGTGAGAAAATTCCTAAAATGCTAAAAATGAATTTTCCAAACGTGCTTTTTTATCTCATTTTTTTGATTTTGAAAAAAATTTGGAGAGAAGAACTCTTCGTTTTTGAATTTTATCACGATGGTTTTAAAGTATATTAGACACATGTATTGATATTACTATTTTTGTATATTTTGAGAGAAAATCCCTAAAAAGTGAGAAAATCTGAGACGGTTTGAGAAAATATATAAACTATTGAAAATTTGAATTAAACTTCTAATTTGGAAAAAAGAAATTTGGAAAGAAGAAAAATCAAAAATCGAGATTTAGACTCAGCATCAAATGGAGAACAAAATGTTTCTTCATATGAAGGGAAAAAATTTTCTTGTGAACAAATAGAGTTTTTAAAATGTTATTGTATGTAATGAAATAAACAAATATTAAAATTATTTTTTGATAACAAGAAAATTCCCAACAGAAAATATTTGAGACAAAGAAAATTGAAAAATATTACTCTCCTTTATATTTCATGAGATTTTAAATTTATTCTCATAAAATTGACAATTTTATACGTTTAGATGAAAATAATTGATTTTGCTTGAAATAAAAATTATTGTTTGCTTACAGCTATCAAATAGATTTTTGCTATTTTGATTAAAATTTGTTAATCAAATTAATAATTTTTTTGTAAATATCTTAAATATCTGGATCACTTACTGATACAATGAATTGAACGATAAAAATAATACAAACTCAACTAAGTTTCCTGTCTTTCAACTAAAAAAAATTATGCAAATTAAATTGTTTATTCAAATATTAAACAAAGATAAAGTAATTACAGTTATCATAAACTTTATGAATAACTCTGTAATTGGTTCAGATTTTCGTAAAAATATTTTTATTAATATCGATAAGAATACGTTTACCTACTATCACAACATATCGATAAACAAGAGTAGAGTGATTTTTATCATCGAAACTTTTTTAAAAGCTGTAAGCTGGAAGTAAAAATCTTGTTTTTTCTGAGTTAGTTGTAGAACTATTGATGCACGAGTTATCATTGTGATGTAGAAGGATGTCAATGTACTGACTGAAGGATATGAAGTGAATTGAATTTCATTGAATTTCAATTTGATCAAAATTTGTTGAAATGATATGAATGTGTCAACATCTGTATCACTCTCTTTCACTCCTTCCCTATTTTTTCGAGAACGAAGCTAGCTCAGCTTTCGCTGAGCGAATTGACACTTTTGATGCCCTAAACATACATACTCTCAAATTTATCGAAAAAAATTATACCACCTAAACTAGTATATTCTTATTTTAAATATGATATTATCCTTAGAATCCACACTAGAATATATTTAAATCAACTTTTAAAAAAGTTTGAATCCTGCGCGTCTCACTTTTTAAATTTTCCAAAAGAAAAATTATATTCTAAAACGAAAACAATTTTCCGAATTGACATCCTTAATAATTGCATTTATCTATTAATATACTATCTATTTTTCAATTTTTTATTTTCTATTTTTTCTCAATTTTTTTCAAAATCAAATATATAGGTTTTTTCTTCAATTATTTATAATTGTATTAAAACATTTTACCCTTATATCAACCAAATGATTTAACACGTTAGCCCTTTATTTCAGCTTGAATTCTTCAATTTTTCTAAATATCAATTTTGATTCTCTACGATAGATTTGTAATAATTCAAAACAATATCTCCCCTATGAAAAGCACCTCAATGTGCATTGATATATCAAAGTATATTAATTTTTATTTACAATTCGATATTCCATAATATAATATCAAATTATTTTTCTTTGAGAATTATATGACTCTATTCATTGGATTTTGCAGTATAATTCCACATGAAGACAAGTCTTGAAAACTTATTTGAATGCTACTTTTTAAGCAAACAGAAAGTGTTCCTCTCAAAAAGTGGAAACACTTTCCGGTCCCTCCTTATTTATTTTTCCATTTTTGGATATTGGATATACGATTCCAAATGTCTTATGTAACAATCCACAACATGCCCACCCTTCAACCAGCGAAGGTTGTGCACGAATAGATGAGCCTGTTGAGATGATCAAGATCAATTACAGGGAATTGACTTCGTATTATTCAAACCTCAAGTTGCATTCACATAAGAAAGGCTAAATTGGGCCTTTGACATGTAGGGATCAGTACCTATGTATCTGGATTTAAGACTCTATCTCTAATACACGTATGCTTAACCTCATGAAAATTGAGAGGGTGCACTATCGAGTTTATTCCAAAATAACGGGATTGAAGACCCACTGTTTATAGAATTCAATATTTTGGAAAAAGTGACATAAAATGATTTTAAATCTTTTATGTGAAAATATATTAACAGAATCGAATTCTATATTTAAGAAAGCATATAAGAATCAAGATATCGAAGTTTATGTTAGTGGTTCTTCATCACAATACATCAACGGAAGTCGTCAAGTAACTAAACCTGAATACAGTTTCGACCAAATTGAAAAGATGTATGATTGGTGTTCAAACTGCGGCAAAAATCAAGATGATCATCCATGGGCAGTTTATTCCATTAAAAACAAAAAGATTAAAATCTCAGGTTATTATCTTAAATCTGGGTGTTGTGGTGATGATGAAAATATATGTTGTTGTCTTGATTATACATATTGTTGTGAATGTTGTTTGTACAGTTGGTCATTACAAATCTCAAATGATAACGTAACATGGAAAACAGTTCACAAAGTTGAGAAAGACAAAGAGATGCGACGATGCAAAGAGAAAACATATAAATTTAGTGAAACATACAATACAAAGTATGTTCGTCTCATTCAAGATGAATCATGTCCAGGCGATCCTCCATGCATTGCATTGAACAAAATTGAACTTATCGGATCTATTGAAAATGAAGATGGCCTTATATTTGACGATCCAGTAAATGATGAAGATGATGTCAGTATCATTGGACATATCTCAAAGAATTTAAAATAAATAAATAATAAAAATAAATACTACATTTTTAAACTCATTAATTTAAAAGCCTACATTTTTGTATTATAATTGGAATTATCTTGATTATGATTATTTTTGCTTCCAATATCTCAAACAGAATCATAATCAAGATGATTTATATTGATTTTTCTCATCTTTACAAAAGAATTGAAATCGACAAATTAGGTTAATCTGATATTTCAATAAAGAAAAATGCAAGGTAATTAAAGCGATTGAAAATATTGAAATTACAGGATCGGAATCCAAGTTTATTTAAAATTGTTATGACAAGTTTTCCATTACCTTCCCAAATTCCAGGAACAGTTACAACATCGCGGAAAAGAAACTGATCTTTGTTTGAAAACGCATATTTTTGGCTACCATATGGGGTATATAAAGAATTATATGAAACTATGTTTCCATTTGGAATGATAGCATCTTTTGTTAATGCCCAAGAGCTACCACCACCAGAACCACCGTTCAAATCATGACTAGAAAATCCTCCAAACCATCCACTCCCAGCACCAGGTATTTCACCATCTGTTCTTCCTGCTTTAAAGCCATTATTATTCTTTGAATTTCCTTGTAATCCTGTTTCCCCAAATCCAAAACTAAATCCAAAAGTTGAATTTGCGATTTTATTTGAAATATATACTCCGTCTATCCAATGTCCTTGGGCGGAAAATCCGCCTCCTGAACCACCAGATCCATCATCATCAATGAAAAAAGGACTATATTGCGCAGAATTATCAGATCCACCTCCTGAACCACTAACTATTACCCGGTGCCATAAATCATTTTGATTAAATTTGACTGCTGTTTGTCCACCACCAGACCCAGCATAATCAATAGAATCACCTCCACCGCCATAACCACCTTTGTTTGGTGGGCCAAGAATACCTTGGCCACCAATGGTTGCATAGGATGTGATTTCATTTGTTAATTTCACAATTCCTGATATATACCCACCAGCACCGCCTCTGCTTCCTGTTTTCCGACATACTGTATTTCCATTGTACTTTTTAACTAAATCCTGGTCAATGCATATTTTGGATTCATTTATATAAGAAGAAACTGTATTTGGATATGAGCCTCCAGAAGCTCCATAAAGTTCAAATTTGTACTCGCCTGGAGATAATTTGATGACATAGTCTGTACAATCATAATTTGATTTGCAAGGGAAATCAAAAACATATAATCCTAATGATTCATAAGCACTTACATGGATAGATCCTTTTGAATCGTCAATTAGACTATAATGAAGTATTTTTTAGTCAGATTCATTTTTGAATTTATTAAAAAAATATATCTATAACTCTAAGAATCATACAATTCTATCTGAGCACATGATTATGATGAGAAATCTAAAATTGTTCTGATATTTATAAACATGTTTCGTTCCTAACTTTCATTTGATTATGAGATAAGGTTCTAATTTGCTTGATCTGTTGCAATAGTTACTAACTGATAACATGATTATGATGAGATGTATAAACCTGTGATTATATTATATACAGAATTAGAAATTTATATTTAATTAATAGCACAATATTCATGCGTAACATAACCTTCAATTGACTTATAATAATTGGTTATATATAGATTGAATTATGAATAAACATCAATGTCTATATAGGTACGGGAAAAAGGTGTTTATTTCAACAGTAAATAAATAATAAAGATATTAGCATTCTATGTAAGGATGTCAATTCGGAAAATTGTTTTCGTTTTAGGAGAATATAATTTTTCTTTTGGAAAATTTAAAAAGTGAGACGCGCAGGATTCAAACTTTTTTAAAAGTTGATTTAAATATATTCTAGTGTGGATTCTAAGGATAATATCATATTTAAAATAAGAATATACTAGTTTAGGTGGTATAATTTTTTTCGATAAATTTGAGAGTATGTATGTTTAGGCATCAAAAGTGTCAATTCGCTCAGCGAAAGCTGAGCTAAGCTTCGTTCTCGAAAAAATAGGGAAGGAGTGAAAGAGAGTGATAGATGTTGACACATTCATATCATTTCAACAAATTTTGATCAAATTGAAATTCAATGAAATTCAATTCACTTCATATCCTTCAGTCAGTACATTGACATCCTTCTACATCACAATGATAACTCGTGCATCAATAGTTCTACAACTAACTCAGAAAAAACAAGATTTTTACTTCCAGCTTACAGCTTTTAAAAAGTTTCGATGATAAAAATCACTCTACTCTTGTTTATCGATATGTTGTGATAGTAGGTAAACGTATTCTTATCGATATTAATAAAAATATTTTTACGAAAATCTGAACCAATTACAGAGTTATTCATAAAGTTTATGATAACTGTAATTACTTTATCTTTGTTTAATATTTGAATAAACAATTTAATTTGCATAATTTTTTTAGTTGAAAGACAGGAAACTTAGTTGAGTTTGTATTATTTTTATCGTTCAATTCATTGTATCAGTAAGTGATCCAGATATTTAAGATATTTACAAAAAAATTATTAATTTGATTAACAAATTTTAATCAAAATAGCAAAAATCTATTTGATAGCTGTAAGCAAACAATAATTTTTATTTCAAGCAAAATCAATTATTTTCATCTAAACGTATAAAATTGTCAATTTATGAGAATAAATTTAAAATCTCATGAAATATAAAGGAGAGTAATATTTTCAATTTTCTTTGTCTCAAATATTTTCTGTTGGGAATTTTCTTGTTATCAAAAAATAATTTTAATATTTGTTTATTTCATTACATACAATAACATTTTAAAAACTCTATTTGTTCACAAGAAAATTTTTTCCCTTCATATGAAGAAACATTTTGTTCTCCATTTGATGCTGAGTCTAAATCTCGATTTTGATTTTTCTTCTTTCCAAATTTCTTTTTTCCAAATTAGAAGTTTAATTCAAATTTTCAATAGTTTATATATTTTCTCAAACCGTCTCAGATTTTCTCACTTTTTAGGGATTTTCTCTCAAAATATACAAAAATAGTAATATCAATACATGTGTCTAATATACTTTAAAACCATCGTGATAAAATTCAAAAACGAAGAGTTCTTCTCTCCAAATTTTTTTCAAAATCAAAAAAATGAGATAAAAAAGCACGTTTGGAAAATTCATTTTTAGCATTTTAGGAATTTTCTCACTTTTCTTCCAAATTGACATCCTTACAATTATTAAAAAAAAACAAATTTTAATTTTGATGTGGGAATAAAATTATTCTCACAAATTGTAAAGATTTGAGAGCGTTTTGAAAAAAATCGAAATTATCAAAATGGATAAATTATGAAAAGATTTAATTGTGCATTTAAGTTAAATAAAAATATATTTGTAATTGAGATAATATAGGATAATTCAAAATTTGTTTTGAAAATGCATTTGAATAGAAGAAAGAAAAATAATGTTTAAAGAAAAATAATATATAAGGCTTACTATAAAACAATAATTTGAATTCAAATTTACAATAAAAGTATTGTTTTTAAAATCAAAATTGAATAATTTGATTTATTTATTAAACTATATTTGATTTATCTTGTTTTTTAAAAATTACACCTTCTCTCAATTTTTTATTATCCTTTCAAAATTGCCGATCATTTCTTAAAAAAATTTGCATGAATTAATCATTTGATTTGTTTATTAAAATATATTTGATTTATCTTTATTTTTAAAAATTACACCTTCTCTCAATTTTTTATTATCCTTTCAAAATTGCCGATCATTTCTTAAACAATTTTGGATGAATTAATAATTTGATTTGTTTATTAAAATATATTTGATTTATCTTTATTTTTAAAAATTACACCTTCTCTCAATTTTTTATTATCCTTTCAAAATTGCCGATCATTTCTTAAACAATTTTGGATGAATTAATAATTTGATTTGTTTATTAAAATATATTTGATTTATCTTCTTTTTTAAAAAATTACACCTTCTCTCAATTTTTTATTATCCTTTCAAAATTACCGATCATGTCTCAATTTATTTGCAAATGTTCAATGATAAAACTTGCAAACCCACTCAAATTATAATGAAAAAATAATGGTGATTCAACTCAATATTTAATAAAATGGATTAAAAACAATAAACAAGAATGTAATTGGGTTGATTCCACCAAATTATTTTTTTTTAAAAAATTGATTGACGATTTTGAGAAACGGAACCAAACTCAGGCCCCTCCTGAAGAAATTAAAGTTAAAAAATTTAAAATTACCCATATGTGGATTGAAAATGGGAAATACATGTGTGGAGGTGAAATCAATGGACACTTTTATAAGTGTTCAAGGGACGATGTCAAAAAATATAATATCAAAAGCCTATTGGATTTTTATGAATCTCATATAGAAATTAAAGAACCAAAAGAATAAGAAGGAAAAACTAACTAAATAAACAATTACTTTTTATATAATTTTACTTTTTTTTTTTAATGTTTACCAATTACAAAGAGATAGAAAACTATAGTCAGGCTGAAAACAATTACCAGGATCAAAATTTTAATTGCTGCTCAATTGAACACGATTTTGGAGGGCAAAATTCAGTTAATGCGGATTTTGAATTTCTTATTTCAAAATTTTCGGACATTGATTTAGTGCTACAAAAAGAAGTTGCATATGATTTATTTTACAGGTTAACAACTAACTTTCCATTTGAAATTTTATTAAATTTTCAACAATTTAAACAACTCCTAATGGTATTAAAGGATTTAGAAGTATGTAAGGATATAAATTTAAAATTCATTTTTAGTGAACACAGTTTATTTATATTAAAATTAACACTTATAACATATAATGAAACAAAAGATGACACATTAATCAAGAATTTACATATAACTTTACTATTTGAATTGATAAAAACACAAGATAAAAAATATCTTCATAGGCTGATTCAATTATATATAAAACTCAATTTTTCGTCAGAAAAACAGATCTGTTTCAATTATTTAAGGCTTTTAACTGAAGAATTTCAGCTATCTGAGAAAATTTCCATTTCAATTCTGACTTTTGTTTC